CGCCATTTGTGGTATTTTCTAAAACGCGCTGTTAAGACAGCAGGTAAAGGTTGGTCTGTGTTCTGTCGGAGCTGCCTGCGACGCGCTGATGAGATCCAAAAAGATCGAAATCGCGATCCGCGTCTGACAGTTTCGACAGAATACAGACCACTTCGAATTATTTTAGCCGTACGATTGTTTATTACATCTAGCTTACACCCTCGAAAGCTCGGCATTTATTTCTGTTACACCCTGTATATGTAAAGGAATGTCGTTCAGTGAATATAGAAATTACACATATCTTTGTCAGTACTTTTTTTTATATATTTATGAACAAAAACGCATTAGGTCACTTGTTTGTGTTTTGTAATTTAAACTAATTAAACCACATCTTAAAGGATTGACAAAACTTTATCTGAAAAAACGGGTCAATTCAAAAGGATATCTTTACATTGCTTATATTAACTACTAAGTACCTAATCGAAAATCAGAATTTTAAATAGATTTCTTTAGCTTTTATATTATACTGTCATTATTTTTTAAAATGCAACTGAAATTTGAAAAACCCTTCATTTTCAAATTCGCCTAAAAAACTAAGAAACAGTTCATTTACTTGCTGATTTTCGTCAGCGGCTAAGCACAAGGTCGGATCAAGCACGGCCAACTGTTTTTGCCTTCGAGCGGGATTGGAAAAAAAATATTTTCACGGGCCGGGCGAAATATTGAAATTGAAAAATGTAAATCAAAATACTCGTTTCTTTACGTAAACAAAATTTTATTATGACATATGTGAGAATAAGTCAGACTGCTCGTTCCAATCAATTCGCCTGTTGGCAGTGTCGCTTGAACATCAAACAAATTATATTAAGTTCCTACAGATGAGTACAAAAATGTTTTAATTCTTTACAACGGAATCTTTATAAAAAAAAAGATATATGTTACAAGTATCGAGCGTATCCGTCTCGCTTTTTCCAGTTTGTCATTTTCCCGGTTAGGTTAAAGTGGATAATAGTCCCCCCTTCCCTATTTTATATTATTTTAATTATTAAATATTAACACTGAAAAATTGTTCGCCAGGTACAAAAATTCATTACGCAGATCGGATAGGGAAACGTACTGCGGTACGTTCGGTGAAATGTGTGTTATAACCTCCAACTAATGTGTTCAGAATGTTTTAATGGTTTGTATGAATAAATATGTAAATACTTTAACATTTTTAGTCCCCAATGGGAAAACACTTAAGTGTGGTGTAATTTTAAGTGTGTATGCACTGCAATTTGTAATACGTCTAATG